TACATTAAATTCTGATTAGCGATCGCCGATCAATTTCCCCGTCTCTTTTTCGTCGTAAATCATCCTTCTGAACATTCATGAGCTCTACTCCGCTCCGGCTCAATTTCCGCTGTTAATTGCGTAACGAAGTTCAACTGCGGATTGCAATTTTCAATTAGCGAGCGCTCTCGAAATTTTTATATTATTTTCCCGGAAGATAGCCTGCCCCCTTCCCCTTTCAGCCTCGTTGAAATAGCGCAATGATCGTCGCTCTCATATTCGATCGCGAGAGCTAGTCGGAGCGATATTTGCCAAAGCGATAATTCGTGAAAATTTATCGAGAGAGAGAGAGAGAGAGAGAGAGAGAGAGAGCAAAGCCGCGTGACAATGATCGCCGGAGCAAAGCTCTATTGAACTATAATCTATTTAAACGCGCCGCACGAAATTGTATCACGAAAATGGTGCCAATTTATGGACGCTATATGGCCGTAGCGGATATGTCAAACTGCGAGTCTTAACAAGTAAAAATGGCACAATACGGTAGAGATAACTGGACGAATAGACGTTTCGACGATTCCGAGCCAACCGAAAGTTCTACATTAAAAGGACCGACGCAAGAATCATTGTTCTGCTCGAGAGTGACGTTTATTCGCACGTTATTATTATTTCAATAATTATAATGACCGTCATACTTCATTAGGCGTGGAGAATTTTACACATATGTACGTGTCTCTTTTTTTCTCTTTCTCTCTCTCTCTCTCTCTCTCCGTATTACTTTACGTCTCTCGCCATCTCATTTCCGAGCGCGGTGATACTCTTACATTATGCTTGAGTAATACCGTCGCCGTGTCGCCGTTACTTTCCGTTCAAGATTCTTATTAGTGAGGAAAAGTCCCCGATGCGTATCTTTGTATCAACCGATAGACGTCGTAAGAAAGTTTATGAGGAGGGAACCTCAAAGAGCGCAGCGCCAAGAGGGGAAAAGAAGGAGCGAAGGAAGAGAGAGAGAGAGAGAGAGAGAGAGAGAGAGAGAGAGAGGGAGAGAGAGAGGGAGAGAGAGAGAGAGGGAGGGAGGGAGGGAGAGAGAGAGAGAGAGAGAGAAGTCCGTCGTAAAGGAATCCTACCGAGACCAGAGTGTTTAGCATAGCAAGAAGTCGAGCCTCCAACGAGCGCGGCCTTGGTTTGGCACACATGGCGTATCCCGTAAAATAGATTCGCGATACGCAAAATTCCATCTTGGCCCAGTCTCTCTCCGACACCTTGACAAAATTCGACGGAGAACATCGCGGAACCGGAGCCGCAACATTCCTCTCGAAATCCATTTCGTGAACCGAGAGAAGAGCAAGGAGGACGGGGTTAGCGGGGCGGGGGCTAGGCAAGCCTCGTTAAAGAGTCTTCGTCGCGCTTTAATTTAGTACCACCCAATAATTTTTCCTTTCCTTATCGCCTCTCTCGTTGAATCCGTGGGCGAGAGAGGGACGAGAGAGCGCTCATGATATTCCCGCCCTTGGTAGATTTTGACGTCCTGAATAGCTTTATCGTTGCAGCTTAGCTGCAACGCAATCTCCCGAGTGCGATGTAGCACGCGGGAACTGTAAAATGTCTTTCTTTGCTGGTCTTAGCTAATTCTCGGCGGCGGTGTGTAAAGTGCGAGCGCGCGCGCGCGCGCCAAGTGCACGGAGATTTTTCAATTCACGAGAACATTGTTTCAAACTCGAGGCGGGTATTTCCCTAAATTAGACGCGTAAGACGCGAGGCTCGTCGATCGTCCGAATGGTGTGCATAAAATGCACCGCGCTCAAGCCAGGTTTGCGCTTTTTGTCGCTTGCGTTTTTTCGTTGCGCAGGTTCGGACAGTCGATCCCGTTGGAGGAAAGATCGTGGATGAATGTGTCGGGTCATCGAATCGAACGAGCATTAAAGTCCCGGCTTAACGTTAATCGCGAACAACGGCACGTCCTGTATTTTTAGAAATTGCATTTTCGGCTGTCGATATTTACGACACCCTTAAGATGTCAGAACGACACCTCAGTGTGTCTTTGCAGGTCGTCTGCATGCTGGCTTCTTTCTCCGGTGACGCGCGACTCCGGCAAAACGAGAAAGCGCTTGGACAATGCCCGAAATTTATTTCAGACTTATCCTCTATCGCGAACGATTTGCATGCACCCGCGTATTTTTCTATGCCGACCAGGTGTCACTTTATACCCTACAAATCAACCATTATTGCTACTTCGTCCGATGGTGTCGTCTGATGGTCTACGATTTTTTAACGTCTGCTAAATAATCTCGATTTACTGGCCACGTAAGAACAACCATATATCGCAAGGAATCGCATCTTCCTCCTGAATATCCGACGATTTGCGTGCGATACGTAGGAGACTTCGCCGAGCACACGGCGCGTAAACACTTCTATTAAAGATCCCGCGATTTACGAGCAAATGTCGCAAAGCGGCTCGGAGATTGCGACAGAAAAGTTGAGCGGACACCCTGTCTGTGCGTTCTTGAAGTTAAAAAATCGCTTCTTTTTTCGCCGACATTTTGCAACGTAGAAAAATATCCATTGTCGTCACGCATAATCGGAGACCTTGCGCCAACTTGGTCGTCCGCAAAACTCGCCTCCTCGACAACTCTGCGGCCGGTCTCCGCGTGCGTTTTAATTGTTCACACGGACATTTATAATACATTTTCAACGGGCATACGGAGCGTCGCAGAGTCTGCATCTCGCCATTTTCATGGTAAATCTTCCAATAATTCTCAAGTCAGTTTTCCCGCGAAAGGGGATATTATTTGTCGCAACTTGTTAATATTCGACGCTAAACGCCTCGGCGATTAAACTTTGAATTTGGTTTTTGAGGGAGCGGCAAAGTTCGCGGAAATTTTTGCCGGTAATTATTAATCGCTGAATCGCACCTGAGAGTTTCTCGCTCGCGAAAAACTCGGCTCCAGCGCGGTGAAAGGGTCTTTCCTTAAAGTTAACGTCGGACGTTCCGCAACACCTTATATAGGGTGTAAGTATTAAACCAAATCTGTCGCACGATTTTCTCGCACGACTTCCTCGCTTCTCGCTTGATAGTCATGTTAAAAATCCGTTCCGTTTTTATCACTTTTATCAATACGCGGAGCCGTTCCGCTCGTTTGTTTCGACGTATCGAAAGTATAATACATAATTAGCCTCGCATATTTTTTGTGCTTTGATTATACAATATAAACGTTGGCATCAAAATACTATTAGAGCTGAAGCACTCGAACAATTCTTATCGTAGATTTATTCTATATTAATAAACGTCGCAGGTTTTAACTATATCTGTGTGCTTTACTTTTTCACACAGCCAAAGATGTCTATTTCGAAAACGTCGAAACAAGCGCGACGGCATCATGCCGTCGATGGACAGCAAAATATCGCACACGATATCTTGTCGATATCGACATTCCGAGCAATTTTCAAATTAATCATCCGCTCGCAGCTGTGTCACACGTCAAGACATACGACATAATCGTTAATATCGCGGATTTAACGGGAAGTATTGATTGTCTTTGTATAAATCTGTCCGCTAATACTCCGCATTCATTCCGATTTGGAGGCTTCATTTAATTCACACGCGCTGCCGTTATTTTACGGATTTACGATTTACGGATTTGCCCTTATATTTGCATTTTCCGATCGCTACATCCGGCATTCATTAAATTCACGTCCACCTGCGCAATTAATATCACATGATCAATTCGCGAAAACATTATACGCGTAATTATCGTCGTCAAATCGCATCCCCACTGCGTCTAACGCGATAACTCCAGCGATGGTGGAAATCACGCATCATATCGTATATCGTATGCGTGCAAACTTCGAACGATGAAACGCGAATCTGAAAGATTGGTTACTTTTGTAAACTTTTTCTCTTCCTTGTACATGCCCGCCACTTTGATCTTTCTGCTGTTAATCATGCGAAAACCTGATTGGACCTTTCACACCTCATAGAGCGGAGTTGTCGCGAAGGGTGTCGCAATGTCGGACGCGCGTCGGTCCTTTAATGCACTCGCCGAAATAATGCACAACAATAAAAGGCACGGAAACGTATCAACTACAATTGTGATTCAACGAGCTCTACATGGACAGTAACTGCAGTCGTTATTCGACTGCAGCAGATGTTGCGTGGACGAGTGTAAAAAAAAGAAAAAAAACAGGGGTTATATTCGCGTACACGGGGAAAAAGTTAATAATATAACTGTAACAGAGAGAGAGAGAGAGAGAGAGAGAGAGAGAGAGAGAGAGAGAGAGAGAGAGAGAGAGAGAGGGGGGGGGAGGCCGCAGAGATACAGTACAAAAATATCGAAAAATTCTGATAAAATTCAACTCTGCTTTTTCGCGTCGCGCTTCCGCGATCGATTTTTCCGCCGGCTTTGATTTTTCGCCGACGGCGAATTCCTTCCTTGAAAACACCCCTGAAGTCCCGTTCATCCCCGATGTTCAGGGACTTGCGGTGGCTGGCACGACGGTTGGAGCGTCGCGTGTCAAATTCAATTAACGAGCAAACGTACGCTCGTGACGTCGACGGCGTTGTCGTCGTTGTCGCCGTTGGACCGAAACGGCACTCGCGAATAACCCGCGACTGTAACTCGTAGAGCGAGTAAACAGTTACAAGGTATAATTGCATAAACATTAGCGAGTTGCAACAAAATAGAACCACCGTAGTTAAGGTTCTACATTCTAAACTCGCCGGGAGACCGAGACGGGTAAACGACGAGAGGGTAGAGAGGGAGGAAAGAGACGGGAGAGAATTCTGTTTACAGGCACGGAACGACGAACGAAGTCGTTCCTGGCACTCAATGTTCTCTCTCTCTCTCTCTCTCTCTCTCTCTCTCTCTCTCTCTCTCTCTCTCTCTCTCTCTCTCTCTCTCTCTCTCTCTCACTACGTAAGGTAAGCAGGGATTCTGTTTAATTAATTATGAAAGAAGGTGTGGCGCCGAACAGACCAATCCGACCGGTTCGTTCGTCCTCGAGCCTCCGTCGAGCGTTTCGATTATTAGCGCGCTGCCGCGATCGGGCCTCAGTGACAGAGCACCACCAGCCGTGCGAGGACCGTTTACGTCGAGAAATCGGTCGTGAGCACCCAGTATACCCCAGTTCAAGTCGCACCTGCGAGCCGAGGGATCCGCACGTGTCCTTGCGAGAACACTCGAAGCGAGAAGAGACCGGCGGCTCTAGTTGACCGCGCAGAGATCACCGTCCAACATCAGCAGCCGAAGCTTCCGAGGGGCGCAGACACGACACGCGACACGACCGAGCGAGAGATGTCCTTGCCCGTGAGTTTCCGTGAACGATGGAGCGTCCGCGCATCCGACATCGCCAGGCGAACGCACAATCCCATAAGGTCGATCGTGGAGAACATCGTCGTCGAGCCGAACCCCAACAAGCCGATGATCGCGTTGTCCATCGGTGAGTCCGCGCAAGGGTATCTCGCCGCGGGAGAGCGCCCGCTGCTCCTTGCCACGAGCCGATCCTTACGCTCGATTGTTCATTTGCATACTAGTAGGCTCGACTTGAATATCATTGACTCCTAAGCAGTACGACGACGACGACGGTCCGGCGGTATCTAATCTTTCCAGATGCTTGACACTTTTCGAGACAAGCTCGGAAATTTCACTCAAGTGAAGCACATTCCGCGGTTCCTTTTGCTTCTCGCTCAATGCTGCAAAACGTGTCAAACGCGCTTCGTATGATTTTTATCTAACATTACCACTCGAGGACCTATCCTCCTTTTTGGATTTAAGAGCACGCGCGTCGTGTCCATCGAACGCCTCAGGAGATCCAATCGCTGGGGTAATTAAGCTGCGTCGCTCGTAAAAGAATCCAAAGTTTCGGGCGCGGAGATAAAACTATGAGATAAAAGTGTGGACTCGCGCTAGGAAACCGACACAGGCCTGATACTTTTACCCGACTAGAAATTTATCCCATAGCCCTGATCAGGTTAACCTCATTTGGACATCAGGTCCCAATAAGATAATACTATCGGGTCCTAGTAAGTCATGTAACGCAGCGTGGATATCAGGACCTTGGTAAGGATTCATAGTCAGGTCCTTATTGAGTTACCTTATGGAATCCTTATTACGGTTTTTTTTTTTTCAAATTATGGCTCCTGATTACTCGCCACGGCTATATTGGATGTTGACATTAGAAATAAGAAATGACACGCTGAAAGTTCTTTCATGTCACTTCCAAATAAAAAGATATTTGCATGAAATAATATTTTAGATCGCTTGAGCATACTTGTAAAATGTTTCGGGAAAGAAACATAAAATAAATATCATAAGATCATAAAGTATCACAAGGTGACAAGACACAAAGTAGTGTTAAAGAGAAAAGTTGCATGTCACGTTAATTTTACAACTATTTATTGACTGCTAAAAACAGGAGAGTTTCTATAGCATTTTACAAATATATTCAAGTGATCCGAAGTGTTCTTTCAATGCAAACATCTTTATATTTGGCATAATGACACCCAAAAATTGTTTTGTTAAAACTTGATAATGCAAATCATATTAGGTACAATGAATAAGATCCCGACAAGGACTTGATAAACTGAACCATATTATATCATACACTAGATTGGTACATTAAGATCCTAATGTTGACCCAATCATTATAACCTTATAAAGGTCTTCCTTACTCACTTGTCGTTAGAACATTATAAGGACTGACTCACTTAGGATTACCTTTCATTCACCCTATTAGATCCTTGTCAATGTCAGATGAACCTGATCAAAATTTCTAGTCGGATGGCAGAACGTGCCAAATCGCTCGCGTATCTGAGATACCTCGCTAAACCGCTCGATCCGATTATATCGCGTGACTTTTAAGAGAGCCCTCCTCCGGGAATGCGAGCGTTTATTCGCGCCGCAATATTCGAATCCTGGCAACGTTCAACGGGCTCTTCGGAATCTCATCGTTCTACGACGACGAGGAGGAATGAAAGACAGGGAAAGCGCGAGCGCAACGGTCTATCACGGCGGTGCAATCAAGCGGTTATTTAATTTTTCCCCCGCGCGCGCGGCAAAGGACAGGGCACGACCGACACGAACGATCGTTCTCCGGTTCGGGGGCGGGGGCTTATACGTCGCGCTTTATTGCAGAACCCACGCAGAGACATAAGAGCAACATGCAGGCCCGAGAGCGAGATTGCGCGACGTGGCTCGTGCACCTTTGGCCGCGCTAATGCATGAAACGATACGGTAATTAAAGGACTCGCTCGCGCCGCGAGCGGAGACTCGCGTCTTCCGCAGCGCGCTTTTTTCCCGTCGACGCGCTGCGCTCCGTCGCAGAGGAGGAGAGAGAGAGAGAGAGAGAGAGAGAGAGAGAGAGAGAGAGCGATCGCAGAACTCGCTGAAAAATAATAAAAGGCCGCTTCGAGCGTGTCCGGTCGCGCAGGAAGATTCGCAGGACGAAATGATTAGTTCCGTTCGCTCGTTTCGTGCCCGCGGCGTTTCACCTCGTGAAAAGCGTTACAGCCATATCACACTAGCGACTCGCGACTGCGATTGCGATTGCGACTTTTCCTCGACCAATCCAGGAAGCTGCGACTCGCGACTATCGTTTGGACGGCTGTCCATTTTTCGAGTCGCAGCCGCAGTCGCAACCAATCACAGAACTCCGTACAATCACGTGACCCGCTCTTCATAATCACATTTATTTAATAGTATGTAGAAGCCGGTGATCGTTAGAATAGGGTTATATCTAATGTTGTTTTATGTGTTACATATTTTTTTTTAAATGTCGAAACAATTTAATAAAGAGATAGACTATTATTCAGTAGATCTCGTAGAATGTAAACCTCTTCTCTGGGATTGTACGTGTGACAATATTTAGCCGCAGCCGCGATCGCCAATCGCAAGTGTGATTGGAAAACAAGAAATCGCAGTCGCAGTCGCAGCCGCGAGTCGCTGGTGTGACACGGTCTTTACGCGTATATGAAGCGGCCGTCGTTGCCGACAAAGGCTTTACCACCGCCGGCTTTGCGCGGTAAACGCGAGTAAATGCATACAAATTGCGAACTTTCGTTGTTCCCTATGAGCACGGTTAGATGCTCAATATGCATGATCTCCGAGCGGGCGTTGATTCGTGCGAAAAGTTTGACGGGTCGGCGAAAAATGGGAGACCGAATTATCCGGCGCGAGGAGAGAATAGACGCGCGCCAGAGAATACGAAAGCGCGCGGCATTTTGATTAGCTCTAGAACACTGCGGGAACCGGCTCGAAAATGTCGGGCCGAATTCGATCCCGTCCGTTCGCTACGAAAGAGAGAAAAGGAATGGAGGAAGCGAAAAGAGGAAACGAAAACGAGAAAAAGAGAAGAAAAAAATCGTAAAAACGTCCTCGCGCGCGCGCGAGATGTCCACATGATTTTTTCGTACGTGATTTTTGGGGCAATCGAGTGCAATTTTGTTATCATATACACACGGTGGTCCATCGTTGTCCCATCAAATTTCGCGATGACATTTTTTCGAATGTTCGCGGTTGCTTTTTTCTTTCGCCCGACGGAATTCGAACGGGAAATAATCGCACGTTAAAAGAGACATTGGGTTTTTCTTTCTTCGCCTCGGCGAGTATTAACGTTATGAATATTGAAAACATGAGGAAATATCGATGAACGTCGTTGTCACGAATCTTCCAGTTGCTTCCGTGCGAAAGCATCGGAACTTCATACACTCGGTTGCGGCCTTGGGAAAATATTGATACGCAAACACGTAAGTGTAACGTGGACAATATTTTGTTTAGCGATCCGTCGTGTTGCTAGAAGAAACAAGTTTCTCGCGAGAGGGTTTGCGGACAAGAGCTTGCCAGACGTTACGGCAATTCCAATACGCTTTGCTCGGTCAAATTTCTACGACGCTTTGCGCTTTGCGCTTTGCTCGATTTAAAGAAACGCCGCATAAATGCTTAACATTTTTCCAGCGATAAGCGATTTAACGCGCTGCAGCGATCGAAATGCAACGTCGTAAATAAAATGCTTCTGACTCTTTAAAGGAATTTTTAGAACGACATAAATGTTGTGCAAATAATTGCGTGCGATGTTGATTTAAAACGGCCCTTCAATTACGGAAAAATTGATTCATCAACATTATAATTGATAAATTATCGAAGGCAGGTGGATCACAAAACACGCTTTTCAATCGACGCTTTTGCGAAAATATTTTCTCGAAATTCGAAGGAGAGACGAAAGAGAGACCGCGAAACAAAAATTTGCCAGCCGAGAACTATTCGCGCACAAACCGAAGAGTAAAAAGGATTTTCGCCCTCCGATCGAACTTGATCGTATTTTGTTTTGTAATACCGTAAACTTTTTTAATTCTTCGCAAAGTTCTCAGGCTTGCCGCGCCGGGATGCGCGATTTTAGCTATTCGGCGCAGAGTTTATAAGCGGTGAAAAGTTAAAAGGCGGTGGTAGTGACGCGTGAGTCCCCTTAACATTTGCAGTGCGCGAGTGGCGCAAAATGCGGATGTGTCAGAATGTATCGGAAAAATGTCCGAAGCGCAGTCCTCAGCAAATTTTATAGCGGAATAGAATAGAACTGACGCACGAGCATGCTAATCTAAATATATTTCGATACAAATCCCATGCGAGTGTGCGCCAGCGGTTGCAAACATTTTCGAGGGCTTCCTTTTATCCTACACATACGCAATTCGAAGAAGATTACAGCGTGAAAAAAAAAATGGAATGTGGCTGCCTAGCGAGTTTTTCTTTTTTTTTTCCTTCGAAAATCGCCGCGCCGAAAAATAACTGCGATAGTCTCGCAGAGAGAGGGAGGGGGGGAAGGGGGGCTCGACTCTGCCCAAGATTACTCTTCTGGATTAGCATTTGCGCGTGTGTTGTATTCTATGAAAAATACAGCATTCTCTTCAAGGGCTTTTTCGACGATACGGAAGCCGAGGTTTTTTTCGGCGGGACATTTTCCCCGAGCCGGGGAACAGAGTATCCTCTGTGTGACGTATGCATACGTGGCGTGCCGCTTTCGGTGAAGTTTCGGGATATGGCCCTGTTCCAGAAATATTCCGAAACCGGTTTGAAGTTTCGTAACGCACTGACAACGACAGAAAATAAGAAATTCTACCGACGCTCCCCGAAAAACGAAAAGGGATAGAAAAAGGGACGCGAATCGTCAAAGCTCCCAACGGAAATTGCACCGTCACCGTTTAAAACGCGCAAGGCACACGTGCTCCTTCATTACGTCTTTATTACACGGTGGAATGGGCAGACATCCATATTTATCTCGCGCGCGTTATCGTATTTCGTAAAATATGAATTTAATAGGGCAGACACGCGGGGGAGACTTGGTCGGATATTAGCGTTGGACGTTGCGATGCGTGAACATTTTAATCAAGATTAAAATACGTTCGCTCGCGGCGGAAACGGACCCGGAACGAGAGCCGTCCGCTACTTTTCTCGGACGTGTTACGCTGTTACTGTCTCTCCGGAGAGTCATCGGGCCGCATACACTCTATTAAATAACCGGACGCAACAAACGAACGCGTGCACGAATCGATGGCAATCGATAGGAATGATAATTCGAAAATTTCCGACTCGACGCGCTGTCACGCATACGCAAATAGCGCGTTAAATAGTAACACGGCCAGAGCGCTCAAAGATCTCGGCCAGCGTGAGCGAGCGAACCGCTGATTGACACCAACTACAATGAAGAGATGTGAAACACAAATGGAAAATATGATTGCAACGACGTAGGCGGGCATAATCTTTCCCCGATTAACAGAGCGGCGAAGTTGCAATTACATACAACATAAATTTGCGCGGCGCGCTCACTGTGCTCGAATTTTATTTTGTCGCCGCGCTGTTGTACTCGGCGATAGAAATTTCGCAACAGCGGGATCGACTGTGTGGCGGTGTATATGTGTACATATGTACGTAGATATATATATATATATATATAGCCTCCGGGGGAAACAATTAATTAATTCCAATTATATCGAGAACACCCGTCGGTCGCGCGAGCGTTTCGTTACACTTTGACGACACGTCTGTAAACAGACGCGTTTCCTACTCCGGCGCGCGAGTTTGGATTCGGTAATCAATTACAACGAGACGTGGCGTACGTGTAATTAGGTGCTTACGCGAAATTGTGCTCGCGGTGCCGCGAGCATTCGACCGAAGAGGGGCCCGAGAGATTTGCGCAATCGGCGACTTACGTAATCTCGCGTGCGCGCACGAATCGCGCGACAAGCACGTTGCACGATGTTCCTCCCCCCTCACTTCCGCTCGCACTTCTTCTCAGAGCGCGGTTTTTCGCAGGTGATCCCACGACTTTCGGCAATCTCAAACCACCGAAGGAGGTGATCGAGGCGGTGCAGGAGAGCGTCGCCTCGCAATTGTACAACGGATATGCGCCGAGCACAGGTAATTGCCGAACCGCGCGCGCGCGCGCGCTTTCCTCTCTCCCGCGAGATCCCTTTAATTAGATCGCGATCTCTCTCCAAGTCCCGAGATCGCGCGGTAGGAATTTTAAGCCAAAGAGAGAGAGAGAGAGAGAGAGAGAGAGAGAGAGAGAGACAGACGACGGGGAGTGCATTTGTTGCCAGCTAACGTATAAATCACATTTCGCAGTATATCGTATTATATTACCAATTTTCCAAATGAGATATACGCGAGCAAATCGCTTAAATAATATACCGTAAATTATTTTAGCGTTTACTCATTACGACGCGCGTGACGTGCGCGCTTGTCTATTCTAACGATGAATCATTAACGAATATCGCAATAATATCGATTCAATTATTCACAAAGATATATCTGCTGCATATTGCGTGATGGAGAGCAAGAGAGAGAGAGAGGGGGGGGAGAGAGAAGAAGAGAGAAGAAGAGAGAGAGAGAGAGAGAGAGAGAGAGAGAGGGGGGGAGAGGGAGAGTGACGAGAGAGAGCATAGTAATTTAAACGACATGTGTAATTACACTCGCTCGGCTACGCGAGCGATTTTCTGTGATTTTCACTTATCTCCGTGTTCGCAGGTTATCAGAGGGCGCGAGAGGCCGTGGCGGAGTACAGCTCGAACGAGTTTGTGAAGGTCGATCCTAAGGTACGCGGAGATCGATGGACACGTGGTGCGCGGCCATGTCAAGTGTCGACGGTAGACACGCGTGTCGCGAGACGAATTTCGTGTCACTGACAGAGCCAGGCTAGCGCGAGATTTCTCTTGTCGTCCGAGTATCTTTGTGAGTTCCGGCACTTGATAAAAGAGTCCAGTCTCTCGTTCTCGCTCGACGAAAACACTGGCCTTTTTGTCAGGCGACGTTTCACACAAAGAGGCCAGGGGGACGGCTTTTTGTAAGAGGGCCGAATTTACAAAGATTCTCGGCAGCGCGGCGCGATCGCGGTGCTTTATTTACACGAACGAGCCGATCTCGTCGAAACGCTCTTGGAATATTAATCGGGCGTTTTTCGCCTCCTCCGAACGGGAGCGGTGAATTTTTTCGAATTCGCTGATCGGAGGCGAGAGGCGAGGCGAGGCGGTGGTACACAGTGCCTTGGAGACGATTCCCGCGAGACGAGGTCGCGCTTACGTACTCCGAATATACGGCCGTGCGCGATCTCAAGGATCGTATTAATTAACCCGCGGCACTGCGGGATTTCGCGAGATGTAAATGGAAGATTGTGTAATCGGTCGACGCGCGGACGCGATTAACGATACGTGCGCGCGCGATGTTACGTGCGGACGGGGGGGGGGGGCGGGGGGAATCAGTTTTCAATTTTGCAAACGATTTATCGAATTACCCGATTAAATATAAAATTACGCGACGCGCGCGCGCGCGCGCTATTCAGTCGATCGGGCGATCGACTAACCGAGTTGAGCTTAGAGCTCTTTCACGCTTGTACAACCGGCTCATAGCCCGCCGCGGGAATCCCTATCGCGGAAAGGAAGAGAGACATTTTTAATCGCGTGTACCTTCATCATGCACATTATTTATTGCGTACGTGCAGCCGCGCGTGAATCCATTGACGCCGGAAAATCGCCGAAAATCCCCGTAAAAGTCATCGCGCGCAGAACTCGCTTATACTTTCGTTCGATCCGGCTGAGAACGCTTTCTCTCAGTGCGAGAGAACGCACTTTGAGATCATCATATTTTCAAGTAAAACCCTGGAAAAATTGCTACGGGGAGCTATAAAGAGAGCAGAGTTATGCACGAGCGATTTCTTTCTCTGGTTCTTTTCTCGATACCGAAGGTGGCTTTGCATTTGTACGGTCGGCTTTCAGCGAGACGCGAATAAGGGCAGTAAGCACGGCGGGAACTTATTTTCTCTCTTTATCCCGCAGGACGTAATCCTGTGCAGCGGATGTTCCTGCGCACTTGACCTGTGTATCACGGCTTTAGCTCGAGAAGGCCAAAACATCCTGATTCCACGCCCCGGCTTCTCGATCTATCGAACGCTGGCGGAAGGTCTTGGTATTACGGTCAAATCGTACGATTTACGCGTGAGTATTTCCCACCCCCCCCCCCCTAACCCCGGGAAGAAGCGGAGAAGGGCGTTTCCACGCGAGGAGAACTTTTCTCCTCGGAAACACTTTCCTCTAAGTCTCAACTGCAGAGAGAAGGAGAGAGACAGAGGTCGCGGGACAAAAAAAAGTGCAGATCGCGAAGAGGGTCACAAATTTGTCCTATCGAGCATATAACGGTGGCAAAGATATAATATCCAGCGAGAAAACTCGACTGGCCTCGCCGTGACTCGCGGGATCGAGCGCGGGATGGCGCTTGAGAAGAGAAAGAAAAAAATAAAAGAGAAAAATCATCACAGAACGCCACTGTGCACTCCGTGTTAATGCTGTTTCCGCGATTGTGAAATTAATCGGCGCTTCATTCGCCCGTGAAAGCCGCGCGAGCGCGGGCGTGAACGACATAACGAATAACGCACCGAACTGCGCGGCTTCATATCGCCGCGATAACGCGTGAGATATTGATCGATATCGCGCGGCGCGACAGTGGCCGCTATTACGCCCCGTGATAATCGCGGCCGCGAAAGAAGTAGCGGCGTTACGCGCGCGCGCGCGCGCGCGCGCACTACCGTGTTGCATCGTCATTAATAAGAAATGTGCATATAACATCGCGCGCCGCAGCGCGCCGTATTTCTTGAGTTACGCGTTATTACTGAACGCACTTCTAAAGCGTCGTCCACCGGCCGCTTAGAGCGCGCGGCCGCGCGGCTTTGTATGCAAAAATATACCATTCCGTTTTTAGTATCTGGAAATTTATTAACCACCCGGGGCGCGAGATGCATTCATTTACGAAAAACAATGACGACGCATAATATCACCCGTTTATTTCGCGCGTCACGGGGGGAAGTGGCGGGAGAAACGAGGCCGGACGGAATCTTTTATCGCGGCCGCGCGTTAATTGCACGCATTCTATTAGATGTGTCGGAAATTACCGTCGTTTCTCACGTTACAAATTGCGGCTTGTAATAATGATTAAACGGCAAGTTTCTCGCTTGACCTTCCTGCCCGGCGCGCGCGTGTCGTCGCGGGAGACTGATAATTATTTTTCACGCGCATTTGCAGCCGCGAGATGTAAACAGATTGATCCGCGAGCGCGGACTTGAATTCATTCGACGCCGTTGAATGAATGAAAGAGAGAGAGAGAGAGAGAGAGAGAGAGAGGGAGAGAGGGAGAGAGAGAGGAATTCCGCCGCGCGGAATTTTCGCGCTTCTCCATTTATCGCGCGTGCGATAATCGCGGAAACACTCGGATTCGGCTCGTGCCGAAGCACCTCGCGACTAAAAAGTTCGAGGAATTTGCACTTTGTTGCGCGCGACGCGGTTCCCCCGGCTCGTCGAAGCATTTAACTTTCACCGTTGCGCAATTTCGCGACTTGATTCCAGCGACTTCGGCGACTTCTTTCCGCGCTATCGCGACTCGCGCGGGCTTTTCAAGTCTCTCACAAGCGAGGTGTCTTTGTGCGACGAGTCTCTCTCTCTCTCTCTCTCTCTCTCTCTCTCTCTCTCTCTCTCTCTCTCTCCGCGCATCTCGGACATTCGCGCGTCAGAGCGCGGAGTCTGCTGCGCGCCAATCGGAGCGTCCAACGTTACCGCGCCTTTTAAGCCAGTGACCTTAAATGACGTGAAATCATATTTAAATCGCGCCCGTCGTCTATTTACACGATGAATCAGTGTGCTCGCTCGGAGATCCTCAAACGTCGGAGCGAAGTGCTAATGAGGCAGTTTCCACTCTTTTCAGCTTCGCCTGGCGCGCGGCGAAGTTTTAACGTTTCCCGCTTCCCACTCTTTTCGCTCTTTTCCCACTCGTCCGCTCGTCGCCAAGTATTTCACCTCGCCGAAGTAATTACAACCGCACAGTCGTGACTTTAATCGTCTGCAAAGCGGAATGCGCAAGAAATTCGTGCGCTGCCGCGCGGCATCATAGCGCGGCTGCCCGCGATGCGCGAACGCGCCGTTGTGTGTGAATAAAACTTGCGCGGTCTTATCATGTCGGAGGTAGCGCGCGTGCGCGTGTTTCCAGCGTTTCCGTGCGTCCGCCGCGCAGTTTCGTATCCACTGGAAAACGTTTCTCTAAAAACACACTGGTTCCACTCGAGGCTTCGCGCGAAAGAAACACGTTGGCCGAAATGATTTCCGCGGGATGGATCGGTTCAATCTGCCGGCACCGCAGTCCGATAGCCTCGGAAAACACAGCCGGGAGAAAGTTTTAAACATCGCGATATGCTCCCAACTGTTCGGCGGAGCTTTAATTCCGGCAGAGACGAGCTTCTGCACGAACGCGTCCGGTGCTCATACGTGCCCGGTGAATTGCGGGAATAACGCGCGCGCGCGCGCGCGAGCGGGGTTATTACAAAAATTATATCATTAAAATCGCGGATCGTGCAGCCGCTGAAAAGAGTCATGGCGAAATTGTGAAATTTTGCGAGAAACGCCCGTAAACATGTTCGCGCATTAATTACCGGCATAACGCGATTATCGCGAGAGCTTGCGAGCAGTACGGTGTGATTTTATTGTGACTCAATTTAGTCTCCCCTCTCTCTCTCTCTCTCTCTCTCGCACATGCATGTTGAAACCTGTGCGCGTTCCTCCGTCGCGGATTCTTCGACGAATTTGCAATCGTTTTTTCCGCCGTGACGCGACATGCTGCTTTTTCGCAGCTTTATAAAATTCGAATACCCTCGCAAATCTTTCGGGGCGAATCTCGTTAGAATACGGTTTGTAGGAGCGTTTCGTCGCAAAATCGTCGGAATCCACGCCGCCTGCCGCTGAAGCTTAATTCGCGAGCGTGCCGAAATCGTCACAAGGCGGAAAGGAAGGGGCGCGGTTTCCACCCACCCTATAATATATAACGCACAGAGCACAAGAGGGTGTGAGGCAGAGTGAGGCTGCGATGTGTGAACGTATGCGCGAGCAGAGAGAGAGAGAGAGAGAGAGAGAGAGAGAGAGAGAGAGAAGGAAGGAGACCTCTCCTCACGAGTGCATCCTATTAATATTAATCGTTCGTTTCCAGCCGGAGCTCGGTTGGGAGATCGATCTGGATGACCTGGAGGCACAAATCGACGAGTCGACGGCGGCGATTGTTATAAACAATCCCTCGAACCCGTGCGGCTCCGTGTTCAGCCGCGACCATATACTTGACATTCTCGACATCGCCGCTCGTTACTACGTACCCATTATAGCCGATGAGATTTACGAGCACATGGTACGTGCCCGAATATTACGCTCTCCCCACCCTGGCTACCCCCCCCCTGCCCCCCACTTTCCAAGCATCAAGTGACAAATCGTTTCATTTGCGGGGCAAATAAAGGACGCCGCGCGTCCTTTTGTTCGAAGGGGCCGCCGTGCAATTAATTCGGGACAAGTATGCACGGTGCGGTTCCGGATCCGGAAAGGGCGAGTTTTCCACATTTCGTTGCGAGACGGCGAGAGGAAAGGATTCGCGACGCGACTCCGTACGGCGCGCGTTCGAGCGGAATTATTAATCGTAATCGCGCGGAAGACATTTCGCATGGGCGCGGGGCGACGTGCGCTTCGCTCCGAGAAGCTCTCCTCTCTGTTACAGAGTTACGACAATGAGCGATCTTTTCTCGCCGCTTGGCGAGTTTTATGGAGGATGTATTTTCACTCCGGCTGAATCTCGCCTTCCGCTTCTTTTTTGCATGACGCGCGTAAGAAAGAAAGTTACGTCCGCGATGGCTTTGCGTCGACGAAAACAGATTAGGCGCTGCGCGATTAAACACGCCCGAAGACGATTAACGCTTGCGTACACGCGTTCATTGTGATCTCTCGTCTGTGAGGACACGGCGAACGGGTTCAGGATGAAAGGCGCGGTGTAACGTAAGAGCGCGGCGTGGCTTTTCCGTTATTTTGTATCGCGTTTGCACGCGTTCGCACCCCCATTATGCGCAAATACATTTTTCGCCTCGCCGCTGTTTTCAGGTGTTCCCAGGACGGACTTTCCACTCGTTAGCGTCTCTATCGACCGAAGTTCCTATTTTGTCGTGCAGTGGGCTGACGAAAAGGTATGTCGTGGAGTGACTATAAAATTGCCGCATTTTGGCGCCCCCCGAGTCCGCCACGGGAGAGCTCTCGCGCGCGGCGCACCGGAATTTTTTACGCGCGTAACAACCTGCTGTTTTCGCGCATTAAACGGAAGTACCGGCCGACTAATCTGCCCCCTTGAGACACATTGTGGCGCGTTACTCGACATCTCAAGATTCAAACAAGGTCAGAGTCCTCGCGGGACAGCCCTCGCGGCGTATCAGCGTCTCGGCGAAAAGAACGCTTCACCTAAATAGTCACGAGAGGCAGCGCGACCATTCGCGCGCGGCGAAATTCACAAATAACATTTGCACTTTGTACGTGACGAAGGACGGAGGAAAAGTTCCGATTTTGGCAGTGGCGAACACGTCGCGACGGTCGAAATAATTTTCAGAAATGCGCCAACCGCGCGCGCGCGCGCGCGCGGCGAGTCCTCGCGCCAAGTTTTCAATTACTCTCGGCACGTTAGCTCCTATTACCTTTTATTGCGGAAGCGTAGAATAAGAGTGAAGTTGACTGAAGAAATGTACGCGAAGGGAAGGCGCGTTCAGAGCGCGAAAATTTTTCGATTCACTCGATTGTCGAAAATGGGACGGGTCTCGATTGAGCGCGAATGGAAACGTCGCGGTCGCGAGCGGGACGAGGGGGACGGTGATATCCCGAAGTTTCGCGCGATTATGCTTCCATTATTCCACCGCTATCAGATTTGAAACGCAACTTAATTTACGACCGACTCGCGCTGCACCCCCAGTTGTAAATGAGTTCCCAGTAGTTGTTGCTAAGTCTTTGATTGTGTGTATTTTATACGGCGCAAATTTCGCGGCCGCCGCTCGGCCCGGCGGCGCTTCGCCGTGTATAAACGTTGAATCCGCGTCTCTCGTGCAAAATCCAGCGATGTACGTGCGAACGCAAAGCGAAAAATACACAGCAAATGACGGACAGACAGATCAATGATACATCGATGAATGTAGGGCGAACGGAGGGGGCGCGCGCAACACCACCGTTTATACGATGGCGGACGCGGTGTAACGCGGTAATTTGACAAATAAACATCGCGTAACGAGCTTCCATTAATTAAAACGCCATATTGAAAGCGACGACGGCGCGTTGAAATAGGAGTTTCGGGAGCGGCCTGGGGGGGTGGTCTCTCTTTTACGGGAAAGAGAAAATTAAAAGAGCTCCCCCCTGCGCATATTAATCCACGTACGTGTATAATATTCCAATCCGATTCGGACATATTAATTAAAAGCGACCGCCGCTGCGACGCGCCGCGCATATTCGCGGCGCTTCTTTTTTAGCTAATAGATGACACTTGAATTAACGAGAAATTGAATCGGGAAGAAAGGACGAGAGCTCTTCGCGGTGAACAAAACCAATATGCAAATTTCGCGCGCGCATAGGTGGATATGTATTGTAATGATAACTCTGCGTTGAAATTATCTCAACGCAGTGTTATCATTAATATATATGAACCTATGCGCGCCCACATTATACATACACATATATGTGTACAATAGATGAGCGTAACCCAAGAGATGTACTGTATTAACCCGCGTAATTCTGCCACTCTCTCGAGGCACTTCCGCGCCATCGCGGATAAATAAATGATTCCGCAGGATAAAGAGAGCGCAACTTGCACGCTGTGATGCACGGGAGATCGCGGCGCACGCCAGACTTTTTGCGACCGCACGCTAAACAATACGATTGCGTGCTGCAATAAAGACAGCTGCTGGCCGCTCGGCCGCGGGAATGCAGTTTCGTTTCTCGGCGCGCGAATGAAAAACAACCGGCCGCTTCATATCGCGTCGTACGAAACGACCGTTTGAGAAGGAAACGAGCAATTTTTTGTTTTTACACGGGTACCAAAATGTTGATTTATAAGCGCTTCTAGAGCCGCCAATCGCCATCATCTTTTTCCTCTCTCGAACATTTCGCGATTATACGTTATTATTCATTTTTACCGTGATTTTTCCCCTCATGATCCTGTAATTATCCTCGTAGGCGTTCCACGCGAGACCACGAGTGTTTTTATTGCCAAAGGAGTGCCGAGCGTACTATCACGACGTAGATCTTCGCAATCTGCTTTGCGGAGAAGGACTTTTGCAAAGTTGCGCGCGCGCGCGCGCGCACGCGATGCATATGCACGAGAAAATTATCAATCGCGAGTGCTGAATGTAACGAAGGCGGCGACATTGCTGCGTTGTTTGCCTTAGACGCAGGATCGATCGATTTTTCCGAGCGCGAACGCATTATGCAGCCGTATGCAAATTCGCGCGGATAAATTTCAAAAGCATCCGACGATACGTGCATATCGTTCTCCCTCTCTCTCTCTCTCTCTCTCTCTCTCTCTCTCTCACTCACTCTCACTCTCTCTCTCTCTCTCTCTCACTCTGTGTGTTTTTCCCCCTTCCGCAGATTTCTAGTCCCGGGATGGCGTATGGGCTGGATAATAATCCACGATCGTCAGAACGTCCTGGAGGCCGAGGTGGGTAAACGGTCGCGGCACAATACGTGACAGCCTGAAAATAATTGCTTCTCCGGCGGCATTGTTTCCGTAACGAGGCCGGCCATGTCCTGGCGAGTTCGGCGCCGCGGCCGCCACCGCCGTCGTCGCCGCCGCCTTCGCGAGGATTGGATTAAATTTCGTTGATTAAACTTTATTCCGACTATTAAAGTTCGGCCCTTTGGCAACCGGCGACGATCGCGTTCTTAATGCCGCGCCGAGTTGCGAAGGCGCCATCGTCTTGGACGAAGTTTAAACCGCCGCGCTCTGCACGTCGTAACCGATTATTTTCGCGCTCTTTAATAACTTTGCCGGAGTCGTTTCGCGGATGAGTAATCGCGATGAAGATCTTGCCGGAAGATCGAAATGGCTTTTACGTGCGCATATCGCGTGCACGACGCGCGCGGACGCGTGAAAATGCGCCGATGGATTTTTTTTCTTTCGCTTTAGTCACTAAGGCCTGCTAAGTTCGACGAGATTCTCCGAACGATGTGTGTCTCAATTGAGAGAGGTTTTATCTCATTAAATCAGAATTACAACTCGAGTTCAAAGGTGCAGTCGACGACAAAGAGGTCGGCGGAACTCTTGTCGACGATTTGCGGGATAGCTGAACATTGTGCGATCGTTCTCACAATTTTCGCCCATTTCCCGAAACAGGCCGAAAAAAGAAAAGCGTCGGAATCCCCTTGCGCCGTCGCAAACTATAATCTCCGTAAACGCCTCGGGGGATGACTAATCATTTTATTTCCGCATTTCTTTTTATAAGACTTTGAGACAAATTGTTCTTTTTTCCGAGACGTTTACGCGTTTGTAGATTTATTTTTTCTTTTCATTTTTTCGGCTTCGTCGAGCTTTGAAAGATAGGTTCGAATATTCGGCTTTTTGGCGATGTTCTCGAATAGGCGAGTCTCGAACGGCCCGGTAAATACCTGTCAGTTTTCGGCACGTTCGATGTTCCACAATATACGAAGTTCGCGCGGAATACCATCAAGCTTTTGGAAGTGATTCGCACTGCACTTGACTCGACCGCGCTCCGGGCTCGCTTTGGCAGACTTTCTCTACGTCTGTCCGGATTCACCGAGGAAGCTTGATGTATAATTTTTCGTGTGTAAATTTTTCATTTTCTTTTACCATCTCGTTCTCTCTCTCTCTCTCTCTCTCTCTCTCTCTCTCTCTCTCTCTCTCTGTTCTTTTAAATACACTGGGAAAAAATTTGCGAAGCACGACGAAATTCTGCATGGCTACGTCCTCGTACCAACGTATCCGTCGCAGTTCATTATGAGACTTCACGTCGTCTCTGTTAATACCGCGGAATATCACAAAGTACGACGGGGAACGCGATAGAGTTGCAAGTGTCGAACGCGACTGTGAAGTGACCGACGGATCTTTCCGCTCTTGCATCCAGATTCGCAAAGGTCTGCACTGCCTGAGCCAACGGATAATCGGCAGCAACACCATCATCCAGGGCGCCTTGCCCGCGATACTACGGAAAACGCCGCAGAACTTCTTCGACGACGTCATCCGCACCTTATACGTGAGTTTCCCGGCAGTCACACACGTTGTCACACACGTATCACACAACGCGCGATATCACTCCCGAGCCGAATTTATCTCTCGTGCGCGCGCGCGTACCTACGGGGCGCGCATTAATCTCATATTACAGCCGCCATCGTGGAATAATCGGAACGTTAATTGTTACAGTCGCACTCCAAACTGGCGTACAGCTGTGTAGCAAAGATACCGGGCCTGAAGCCGATAATGCCGGATGGAGCGATGTACATGATGGTAATGATTTCCGCTTGAAATTAGCCCGGTCGCGCCCTCGCGTAATTTCAAGAATCACAACGCGCGCAGATCGTCGGACGGCCCGACGGACAGCCCCCGTCCGCCCGCCCGCCCGCCCGCCTGCCTGTATATAGAGCCGCGCGGGAATGTTAATCGAGCGCACGATAAATAGGTCGTACAATTAGTCCCGGCGCGCCACCGCCATTTATACCTTAATGCAAATACTATCAGTAAGGTGGGGGCCCGGTGCGCCGCAATTTACGGGCCATAAATTATTGAATCGATTTCCAGGTCTACATCGATCTGCCGTGTTTTCCGGAGTTTAATTCCGACCTGGAATTCGTGCAGCGGCTGCTGATGGAAGAATCCGTGTTTTGCCTGCCCGGCCAGGTTCGTTTCTGACGTTTAAATTATCCATTGACCATTTTAAATACTGTATTATACACACATACACACGCCTCTCACTCTCTCTCTCTCTCTCTCTCTCTCTCTCTCTCTCTCTCTCTCTCTCTCTCTCTGTCGCGTGCGTGCACGCACACGCAAATACGAACTCGCGGGAATATACGAGAAAACGCGAGGGGACTCCTTTTAATTAAACATTGTACGCATAGCGTTGGCGGGATGTTTACTGTTTCGATACAGCGAAAAAAGAAAAACACTTTTCGATAAATATTATGAATATAAAAACAGTTTGGGATAGACAGTCGCGATAAATTAAATTAACCGTGACGCTAATAAATATTTTGGATGCACATTAAGCATTTACGGGATTATTTTACTGACCCTGATAAATCTCACGTTCAGAAATACGTCAGATGCATATAATTTCCGCAGTCGGTCGCGGAGAAATATTTACAATTCTCTCTGTCTGCAAAATTTAATTTCAAAATTTACGTTTTGTCACAGAGCCAAAAACGCTTGCAAAGGTTTCCCCGCGTTTCTACAAACGATAGCGTTTCCGCAACAATAACGTTCCCCAAATAATAGCTCATCTTTGTATCTTTGCATCGTATCACAAAAGGGCGTAATGAGCAACCGGCATGCAATTTCGCTTTTTACGGTACTCGACGTGTTTTCACTAATATCCCGCGTTCTCGATTGTTGATTCTGCAGTGCTTCGATTATCCCTCGTACATGAGGCTGGTAATTACCGTACCGGGCGACATGCTCGAGGAAGCTTGTCAGAGAATTCAAGAGTTCTGCGAGAGACATCATTATAAAACGGCGGAGATCGTCGGCAGGAACAATTTCGTCGACGTCGAAATTTCGTATTAAAAAGGGAGGTAAAACACGTCAGGGAACTCGAATATGCTCGCGTTAAACCCCGCTGATTATTTTCTCTCGGACCGGATCCAGATCGCGATAACTGTCTCCGAAAAAAAGGAAAAGCGATGTTTGAACGATCCCGAAAAGCCTCTCTCTCGGTCTTGGTTCACTTTTGTGTATATGTACATGTGTATTTTTAATTCTCTATGATATTGTCTGTAAGTGTACAATTATGTATGTAATAAATGTTTGATACGTAAAATATTTCAATTGATTTTCTTTCTCCCCCCCCCCTTTCCTTCGACATTTAGCTCGGCCACCGTTATCTGGACCTTGCACAATTTTGTCGGATTACTCGCCACACAATGGGTTAACGAATGAACAAACGAAAGCGGCAATTTTCAAATATCGGCATTTTATAGTGGTAATAATAGTAACATTGTAATTGTAAGTGCAAATGGATCTAGCATAGATCCTAAAATTGTGTAGATTAATCTGATCTGTTATACTATCTTATAGTTTCATTTATAGTCTTAGTCGTAATCTTATAATAATATTTTATCTGAGATCAGATATGATAGGTTTTTTACATATTGATATTTGCGCATTTCTTATCTTGAAACCAATGCGATTTACGTTTAAGCACTACACAATGACGCTTTGTGAGCGTTCTGATTGCACACTCACCAGTGCGCGTTGATATCCTGCGACGTCTAGTCACCCGGGTCCAGGTCCAGGTCCAGGTTCAGGTCCCTGGCAGCTTTCACAGTGTCCAGTTGTGGTCCCATGTAGATTGCACTACATTCGCGAGCGCGATCATTTTACGTAACGATTTAACGCGCGGCAACTACGATAAATTCCAATAGCTTGAAAATCAACCGCGAGTCGCGTGTAAATAAACCGCGAATCGAAAACAACGTGGCGTTCAGTAAAACTGACAAAAAAAGTTAAATATTCCATTTCGCGGAAAATAATGCTTTGATCAAAAATGAGATTTTTATTATGAGAAATAATTTTATGACTTTTGAGAGCAATGAAAGATATATAGTATATATGTATCGAATCTAACATCTTTCGAGCGAAATGATATAACCAATCACGTATACGAAATTTCGTGAATCGGTGATCACGACGACTGGCAAATTTATCACGAGCAAAGTAATCGCGAATTCCGCGTATGGTAGCGCAATTTTCATGCGCCATTCTGAGGCGCAAATCTAATGCGCCATGTTGAGGCGCAATTTTGACACGCCTTTTTGAGGCGCAATTCTGATGCAAATTTTGCACTACGACTGCCGGAAGCAATTAGGGGATTAAACGAGCAAATAATTTTATCAAATGATTCATTTTATGTCCAATGTAATAAATTCGTGTATGTAAATAGTAAATAGGACGATCATATTTCTAAAGCGATCCCCCTGATTGTTTCGAGCAGCGTGTTTCAATGAACGACAAGAAAATATACATGTGAAACTCTACACTGAGAAAAAAACTGTTTGCCATTTGTAACTGTGACGGCAAAATAAAATAATAGTGAACGGGAAATTAATTTTTTTAGTAAAAATTTTATTACTTGATTTTAGTAAAAATGTTACAACTTTTTAGTTGAAACAAAACATATGACTGACGCGAGAAACGACTAAAATTTATAGTGGAATCCACATTGTTACTTTTTCTCAATGTACATGCAAAACATCTGAGTAATCGCATTGATTTCTTAGAAACAAACTACTAAAAACCCATCACCTAAAATTGTAATTTTCGACTCACAGATCACCAGTAGCTCAGGATCGGCCACGTTCTGCTGCAATTCTGAAACAAAAAAATTACATCGTTGATCAGATACGAATGTGAACGGCATAATGAGAGAAAATAAACGCGTGGATTCGACCATGTAAACTTTTCGCGATTGTCGCAACCAAAAGATTTTTCCTTCGACAATAATTGTCTGAGCTGTCGATCGCAAACGATTCAATGAAAAAGTACGGGAAATCTGTAAAACCCTACCTTCGAGTCGATCCTGCTCGGCCCGAACCGGATCCTCCGGTACGGCATCCGCCACCCAGCGAAACTCCTGAAAGCTGCACTCACGTGATGTGACCACAACCCCGGTTTCAGGTCTGAAACAAAAAGCGAAATTTCCGATTAGCTGTATCGTTAGGACGTGAAAAATACGGAGACTCGAGAAAAGTTCTTCTTTTATTTTGCAATCAGTGAAAATAAAAAATAACAATTACCCTCAAGGATGCTGCCGATGTTCAAGCAATAACGACTTCCACACGATATAACAACGCGCACTGATAATAATCGGTGATAAAGCCAAGAGTAAAAGTTAATAGCACAGAAAAAATAAAAAAAAGTAATTAAATGCGTGTCACGTAAACTTCGATCGACTCGGAAAAGTCGGGAATCACGCGCGACCCGAACCCGGGATTTTTCACGTTAATCAAACTCACAATCACGGCGTTAAACGAGCATCGAGAGAATGCGGGGGCACTGACTCTATTGTCGTCTCTCATCCGCAGACCGGTACCTCGATTACTAGTGTGTGGAAGCGACTGTGTCGTCGTATTATATTAACTCGAGCTACTATTTCCGTCTCCTTTGTTTGTAAATATTACCTCGAACTGACTGTGTCTCGACGCTGCGTACGCACGCACGTAGAGTCACCGCGCCGTCGAAAGGACACGCGACCTACATGTCGCCGGGAATTTATGTAAACAGAAAATTGAAGCATCGTCTGCGCTTATTTCGATCGTGTGGACGTTATGCAAAAAACAGTCGAGCTGATTTTCAAGCGGCGCGCACTGTATCTTACGATCGATCCAATCTGGAATGTTGGCCACATGCCATGCTAGACTTTCGTTCGTAAGGAGAGGCAGACGAGGAAGGGGGGTGCGAGGGGAGGACTCGACTCAAAAATGGGCGGTACCCCCATTGCTTAACATTGATTGCACGACGAGAGGATTCGCGCAACGTAAATCCCGCGAAATAAAATCTACACTCCCATCGGATTCTGAGACTTGAAGACCGCTCGAATTAAGTCCCGAAATTTATGAGAGAGGCGTCGTCACACCACACGTTCCTTCTTTCAATGCAACGTAATATTTCTCGAGATAATAAAATGCGCGTTTACGCTGGGTGGTGTTTTCGAGTAATAATTTATGTGTGTTTCATCGCGAGCGACTTTTACCGAGCTCCGAGAACGCTGGGCGAGCGCTGTCGTTTTTCTTTTTTTTGGGGGGAGGGGGTAATGAGTTAGATTTGTCTGTACGTCAATACGCGGGTTAAATTTATCCAGCAAATCCGTTTTGCCGCGCCATTATGAAAATCGAAGTTCGAGCACGTATCTCCCGCGACCGACAGGTTGCGCGTGTAATTTTATGCACCACCGTAGCGTGCATCGCGAGGCGTAATTTTTAGTCGCGTTCTCCAGGTAGCTCCAGGTGGAAGGCCGGATGCCTCCTTTCTTTTTTTTCTCTCTTTTTTTTTTTTTCTCGACACGGAAACACGGGAATGGAGAAAAAATCGTGGCCGCCATAAATCGTCTCGCGGAGAGACGTAGCGGAGAAGAAAAATTGGAGAGGCCAAGAGAACTGTGGATTTTTGCACGACAATGGATTACCTTCATCGATGATTTGCGCACTTCTGGTAGCAAAAATAACGCTACCTCGCGTACGCCTTGCTTATGTAACTTTTTAGACTTTATTAAGTCACAGCGAATTTTATCGCCGACTGAAAGAGAGAGAGAGAGAGAGAGAGAGAGAGAGAGAGAGAGAGAGAGAGAGAGAGAGAGAGATTATTCTTCTTGCAGATGTAATTTTACTTTATGTTAATATTACTTCTTATTTTCTCTCGCTCTCATTCTTTACGGCCTATTTTTATCTTTCATTATGGTTTAATCCGTAGTAACCTCGCCTAGCACGTACAACGAACTTCATCCGCGTAAATCTCGGATAATTCAATTAAAGATGCGATCAAGCTGTAGCTCAGCTATCGATACGTGGAATACGCTGTCGCGATACTTAATTGGAAGGGAAATTTGATCGCTATATTCTTCAATAAAAAGATTTATCGAGATACCGTTCAAATCCGCACAGCCGCGCGGCCGAACAACAGAATTGGAATAAATTGCAGAAAATACGAATCAAACGGTATGATTTATAAATCTGTGGCAGTTTCCCAGCTTCGATTAAACGTATGATTCAATGTACATTTGAAGTAGCGACCCAATTTTTACGTATTCGGTGTGAAAGCTTTCCTTCATAATAGAATAAAAATAGCTGTAAAATTAAGTAAGTTCTCTTTGTTACTTCCTTCTCGCGCAACTGTTTGTGCAACAATATTGTTATAAAGCGACAAACACGAGATTAAACGTGTCTTTTAAAGTAGCTCGGAGACTGTGACTAAAGAATTCATTTTTATTCGCGAGAAACACGATAATCGTAGCATTAAGACGAACGAATTTTTGAGAATCAGGAAGCAAAGGAAATTCTTGTAAAAAGATATCAAATCGTATGCTACCAACAGCACACTCGCTTCGTGAGCGTACTTCGTGCTCCGCCGGGATAAACGAAGATTCTATCGAAACCCGGATATCGCATGATTCCTTTTTACGAGACGGAGCGAAATCAACGGTGAAGAGCGGACGGAAACGAATCTGATCGTCGCGAGGCAAATGATTCAAATGTGCGTGATATATTTCCGGAATCATGGCGTAATCACCGTGATTCGCACCAATTTGCAACCAAGTGAACTATTACATAATGGCGTAGCGATTTTGTGACATTTCTCACTCGAGATTTCTAGACGGCACACATCGACGATGCCCCGCGCAGATTGTGTCAGCGGACTGATAAAGAGAGAGACAAAGACTTTTATTTTCCAAAATCGGTTCTAACTCTGAAGTTTACACTTTGCTTTCAGAAATTAGATCGCGTATCCATCACACTTCTGTCACGCGAGATAAATCTCCGATGCTGCAATCTCTACGTTGCGACTTTCCAAAGTAATTTGTATCCCGGGCACCTCGCATTTGCGCAATGCTTCGTATTATCAACGTTTGTTATTTTTATTCAGTACGTCACGCAAACATGTCAGTTCGATCGGCGAAATACAATCGACGTTGTTAATATTATTCCGATAAAATGTATTACAATTCGATGATCCTCGTGCCACTAGACTCGAGTTATTTGGAAAAGTACTGTATGCTGATTTGCTTTCCGGGCTCGAAAGCACTTTGCGTGATTCCTACAGTTTACTGAGCATTCACAGAATAACGCCGTTGAATGTTTGCAAGAAGAGATATTTTAAAATTGGATACATGTCGCACGTGCACACGCAAGAGAGAGAGAGAGAGAGAGAGATAAAATCTGAAAGCGCGAGTGAATCAGTGAATTATGGAAGTATTGAAAAATATTAGAAATCTCTCTCCTTCTCTCTCTTTATCTCTCTCTCTCTCTCTCTCTCTCTCTCTCTCTCTCTAAAGCCACCTCGTATCCGTAAGTTACGTCAGAATTCTTCCGTGACCTCCCGCGACTGCTTTTTTTTCGCGTAAAATAAAAATACAGTAATTTTTGCCATGTTCGTCGAATGTATCTACCATCCGGTTCGCGCAGTCGGGAAAATGAACGATGTCAGTCGATATTTTAATAGATATTTATTTCGATCGTAAATCACACGATACCATACTGTTGGCCGTGTTTCTACGGCAAAAAGGACACGACGTGTTAAAGGAACGCGATAAGAAGTCGGAACTGTATCGCTGCTCCGGTAACTCCGAGACACGCTTGTTACTTCAATTTGTGTCGCGAATGTTTTGATACTCCCTGGTATCGACGGTATTAGAGTTGCAGTCGCGCACAAAATAAAACAATTAAATCTAATGCTAGAAAAATATTTGCTAGACGAGGGACACGCGCGAGAAGTATTTGTAACATTTTCCAAAGGGAAGACGAAGTAGAATATTTCTAACGATCAAAGAACAAAGAAAAATAAAATAAAATATAAAAATAAAAACAGCAGCAAAGGTAAAAATATTGTATTTCACGTCTCATCCCCTTCACATTCCTTCTCGACTTGGTTAGTCGCATTTGTTCATTAATTACTACGGACCGTAAACAGGCTTGCGGATGCATGGGAGTTTAAGTACGGTCTGCGAAATAACGAGATTCCTCGGTTTCACCTTCGAACAAAAGGCAGACTTATTTTATCTGGAAGACCGCGGCGAGCGAAGTTTTATAGGCGACTTCGTATGAAGACAACCACGAAAACCGGAAAGACAGGCTTACATGTTAAAGCCCCGACCGAGCGAGCGTTTGTCCCGGGTTATGAAACAGGAGATCACTTGGGTCCTTTTATATTGCGGATCCTTGGGCTTTGATGAAACTCGAGTGTGCCTCCCATTTTTACTTCTGCACAAATGTTAGCCAATTATCTCACGATAATTGATACGCTCCGTGATTATTTTACATGACACGATCTTTACGAGCGACGATCCGATCGTTAAATAGAGCAAATTCGTTCGTTTTACGGCAAAGCACCTCCTTTACCACCTTTATTTCCTTTACCGCGCGAGAATCGAATCGCGGCAGCTTATTCTTTCTCGGCACCATTTGAGCGACTCGTTTCCATCTTTCACGACGACGACGTACGAGTGAGCGGCGGGCGCGTGCGACGGCACGAGAATATGTAGCGCGATATAAAGCACAGAGCAAAATGAGTTATGCCTCCCTGCTTTGGGTCTGTACACACGTGACAAACGATGCCAGTAATCGCTGCGCGAAAACGTGTTGCCCCGAGAGCACGCGAGAGAAATTCGGCCGCTGATGTCTTCATTTCCTAACCTCGCTGAATATTTGCGATAAACGAGGACACGGGTTTCGGCTGCAAACGGATACTTCGAGGCGTTCCGTTCGTTCCCGAACCCACGCGGGGCATTCGCGAGAGAGAACAGAAGGGAGAAAGCATCCTATTGTTTTTTCATCGACGCTAAATATTTACCGAGACTTCGGTCTCGGCCGAGTCGCTTGCGGATACTCGCGAAGGCGCAAGTACGTACGCCTCAGCTTTGCGAGATCCGCGGAACGCGGTAATAATGCGCGCGAACGGGGATTTCGGTTCAGAGTGTCGTCAACAGCGCGTATTGTCAGACGCAGTAATTAATTCGCGAGCGTAAGCGTGCACCGCGCGATGCGATCGCGCTCGTAAACGGCGTTATATTATTACCCGGGCTGGAAGTTAAACCCGAGTAAATCTTCGCGCCTCGCCAGACATTGTATTCGAGTTATTTGAGAGACTTTGCGCGAACTCCCCGCCTAGGAATACATCATTCGCGCAACAAAACTCGAATATACGTATACATCCCCATCCGTCTTCCGGCACTTGTAAACTTCTCTTCGATACAACCGCTCGGCGCAGCTTTGTCGCGTATAAAGAGAACCGAGAGAGAAAGAGACAGAGAGAGAGAGAGGGGGGAGGGAGGGATCAGCTTTCCGCATTTCCGAATTTTCCGCTCTACCGACACAGCCCGAGAGCGCTGAATTTTAGATAATTGCGAGCGGGCAGGATAACCCATTCGAGATCGGAGCCGATAAAGCCAATCGTAACGCGGGATTAATGCGAATCGAACGATTAATGCGACTCTTGATTAATAATTTCAAGGTGGCGCGCTCGGCTCTAGCCGCATAATTGGATTCGCGATCGCACGCTGTGGCGACGATCGCCGGACCTGCAAAATTATCATGCACAGCGGGAGTTAACTCGCCAGAGATCTGCGGGGATCTGAGAAAAAGAAATCGCACGAGGAATGAAAATCCCGCCGGTGCGGCCGCCGAACCGATTCCCTAGGCGTGCGCCGCGAGTCATTATCCTCTTCGTAGAAAGAAGGCTATTTTGTACAGGCTTTAAGTGTCATCTCGACCGGGCTCGACTCGGGCCGCGATTGAAGATTTAAGAAGAAGAGACGCGGGCATCCGCAATGCTCGTCGCGTTCCGCGTACCGAGCCGAGAGGGAGGCAACCCCCTGGCGCGAGGTCTCGTCATCCGCGCGAATAGTATCGGCTTCTCCCCCCCTCCCCTCCCCCCCCGTCGGGTCAATTGCAGTTTAAATTCCGTGGCCGTTGTATATCGATCTCCCGGCGGTGGCTGTACGGGATTATGTACGTAAGACGTCGGCGCTGTGTCGCGGCTAATGGAGGGAAGACATTTTCGGTGGAATACCTCGGCTAAAGTGGTCGATTACCGCTGCCGTGTTTCCCGCCCTCCGCTGCTCCGAGCCACTCGTGCCCCCGCGGATGCGCCCCGACAATAAATAGACCGAGCTCGGGAAGTCGCGAGGTTGATAGACTTTAAGTACTAATCTCATCAGGGCCGACGATGACGACGACGACGACGCGGACGAGGACGAGGCCAATCGCCAATGCGGCCGGCCGGATATTACTCTGCGCGCGCACGAACGAGATCTTTATTTTCATCGTCGCGAGTAGATCGTGAGAAATCGGCAGCGCGGCTATGGGAGATACGTATCTACGGCGCGGCGCGCGCCTCCCGCTATCAGCCGCGATAAATCAAGAGCTGACAGTAAGATGATTGTAAGTGTCAGTGATAAAAATCCCAGGAGAAGCTGCGCGCGCGCGCTCCCCCGAATGGTATTTATTTATTTGAGAGACACGCGGGCGGAATTTTCTTCTTCGCCTGTTTCGCCTTTCGGAGGTTTGTCTCGAATTTCTCCACGGGAACAGGTTAGGTCTGCGG